CACCCGTATGCCCTGGCGTCGGAGGCACCCGGCTTCTGCATGGGCAGCGTGGCAGGTGTTGAGTGGGTGTGCCTGTCCTCCCTACACGTGGTGATTGGCTTCGTCAGTGAGCGGCCCCGCATCGAGTGGCACAGCCTTCCGCGGTCCAAGTTCGTTTCGCTCTTCTCGGCGCAGCCACAGCCCCAGCCCTCGCCGGGACATTGCATCGTTGCGCCCCCGAACTGCGTGAGTCGGATACGATGTAAGTGGGCCGGCTACCTGCTGGTGATTGTCAGCCTCGTGCACGCACACCAGTAGTCTCTTATTATACATGGTGATTGGCTTTGTCAGTGAGCGGCCCCGCGTCGAGTGGTACAGCCTCCGCGGGCCAAGTTCGCTTCGCTCTTGTCGGCGCAGCCACAGCCCCAGCCTTCGCCGGACACTTCATCGTTGTACCCCCGAACTGCGTGAGTCGGATGCGATGTAAGTGGGCCGGCTACCTGCTGGTGATTGTCAGCCTCGTGCACGCACGCCAGCGGTCTCTTATTGAATGGTGCCCCGACGCCCCTCTGTGACACCAGTGCGCAGCGGTTTTTGGCTGCGCCCCCCTCCTGCCCGTGGCCCGCCCTGGTCCGTCGCCGACCCGGCCATGGTTCTACCGCGTGGACGTCTTGGCCCGCCGTCAGCACGCCGCCTACGAGCGGCACGGCCCAGCAGTTCGGTAGCCGCCAGCCATCGTCTCGCCACCGGCGTCGGGGTATTCGGCTTCCGCACGGGCAGCGTGGCAGGTGTGGATGGGTGCAGCTGTCAGCCATACACTCGGTGACCCCAGTGTTTGGCTTCGTCAAGTGAGCGACCCTACATTGAGTAATTCAGCCTTCTGCAGTTCGTGGTCGTTCTCTTCAGAGCAGCCCCGGCTACCAGCCCTCGTCAGTACTTTGCATCGTTGTGCCCCCGAACTGCGTGAGTCGGATGCGCTGTGCACGCGCTGGCTATCGGCTGGAGGTGGCTCAGCCTCGTGGACGCACACCAGTGGTCTTTCTCTACTGGATGGCGTTCTGGCGCGGATCAGCCACACCTTGGCTCCAGCGAGCCTTGATGAGTCGGGCCTCTTTCGCCGCACCATCGTTCACCCGGGGCGCCGCAGTGAGTCTGAGTTAGTCGCTCGCGCTCGCACTCTCCCCCGTCTCATTTTCCGAGGTCTAGGCCTGTCACTGGGTGCGCGCACGTGGGCTTCGCTTGGTCATTGGCCATTCGGATCCGCGCATGCGGCTTTACAGTGCCCCGCCGCCCATTTTGGCCTCGCTTCCGAATGTGGTTCGGCTGGAGCTTGGCACCGCAAGGGCGACCTCTCCCCCCCGTTCCGCTGCCGGTCGCCGCGCCTTTGCTTCCCCACCTGCCGGGATGTCTGGGCCGGTCACCAGCCGACGCTGTCCTGCGTCTCAATGAGGGGCATTTTGTCCCTGGCATGTGCATACGCCGCTGCGGCCAATTTACATCGCACCGCGCCCCGGCCGTTGTGCCCGCTCCCTGTCCGCCCATTGGAGCCGCGAGCCAAAAAAAATATCCGGACCAGCCCACCCAGACACGATGCCCAGCGGAACTGCCCTGAATGGGGGAGCGTGGCATCAGCTGGAGAACTCGGGGGGCCTGTGTGCCAGACGCCCCATAGATGCATCCTGGGGTCTCTTGGCGTCTCTCGGAAGCCTCGTGCAGGCCTCTTGCAGCGTCCTGGGGGCCTTGTTGGGGGGGTTCTCGGGCGCCTCTTGGGGCCCTTTTGGGGTTCAATTGGAGATTTGTCTGGCCGTTGTGGGGCCATCTCCGGGGCCGTCGGTCAAGGAATGGAGAGCCACGCCGTCCAGGAAGGCAACATGGGCCCAGGGCTTCGGAAGCGTACGTGATGTCGGTTGCCTCGCTGAGGCCATTTTGGTCCCTCTAACCTGAAGCCGGGCGTACCCTTCTACAGGAGGAAGATTCGAAAACCGCGGAAAAAAACAAGTATGGGGACAATGTGTTGCTTATGTGTTGCTTATGTTTGATTATTTGTGGGGTATGTTTTGTTCGTCCAAAATCCGCCTGTAGGAGGACACGCCCGACCTTACTCTAACTTCTGGCGCCCCCCCTCTCAGGCCCAGGAGGGGGTTGGGGGAGGGGTCGAGACCCTTCCTGCCCACGAGGCACAAGCCGTCTCACTCACTCCCACCAGCCCTCCTAACAAATGAGTCGCGCCCAGGTCCGCCTGCCAAAAACCATCCGAAGTGGTCGCGGGGCGCCCGCGCACGCTCCAGATTTGGAGGCACAGGGCACTTGCTATTGCACGTCGACAGGAACGGCAGGCCTCCGTGCAGCAAGCAATGTGAGGGGAGTTCAGCCGCCCCTGTCAAAAAACTCGTGCACAGTGGTCGCGGGGCGCCCGCGCATGCTCCACATCTGGAGGCAAAGTATATTTTCTAGTACTTTTTTGTCCCAACCCTTCCTTGGTTGGGTTCTCGTCTTGAATAGGGCAGTGGGGTCGTCAATTCCCTCGTCCTTCTCCTCCCGACCTCTGTCCCCCTCTCGCTTGCCCGCGCCTGTCTGCACCTGCCTCCTGGGGGAGCCAGCACAGTGGGGGCCCAGGCAGGCCCAAACGGGACCTCGCCATCCCTGGGGGGCTGCGGAGTGTGAAATTGTCGCCATTCTCGAGGGTTGCTGGGGGAGCCCGCAGTGGGACCTCACGCGGACCCAAACGGGGCCTCGCCATCCCTGGGGGTTGCGGAGTGTGAAATTGTTACCGTTTTCGAAGGCTGCTGGGGGGAGGGGGTCCCACGCGGACCCAAACGGGACCTCGCCATCCCTGGGGGGTTGCAAAGTGTAAAACGGTCGCCAATTTCGAGGGCTACTGGGGGACCCCGTACAGTGAGGCCCCACGCACATCAAACCGGGACCTTGCCATCCGCGGGGGCTGCGAAGTGTGAAATTGTTGCCATTTTCGAGGGCTGCTGGGTGGACCAGCACAGTGGGGACCCACGCAGATCCCCAAAAAACCTCGCCATCATCTCGCTGCTTCTGCCGAGGTGATTATTCTTCCACCCCGATGTCTTCCTTTTGCTTCTCCTTCCCATCACACTGACTGCCTCCTAGCCTCCTGTACCTCTGTTCTGCGACTCGGCCACACACACACACACACTTCGCACGACACCGATATCCGCCGTGCCCCGTCTCTTGCAGCGTTGCCGTCGCACTGTTGCCGGCACACCTCAGATCATCCGTTGGTGCCGATGGGCTGGGCACGTCGCAGAGCAATTGACGGAGACGGTCGTTTCGCACGCAGGCAGGAGGGAGGAGGAGGAGGGAGGAGGAGGAGGAGGGAGGAGGAGGGAGGAGGAGGGAGGAGAAGGGAGGAGGAGGGAGGAGGAGGGAGGAGGAGGTAGGAGGAGGGAGGAGGAGGAGGGAGGAGGAGGGAAGAGGAGGGAGGAGGAGGGAGGAGGAGGGAGGAGGAGGGGACCCGCCGCCCTTCTCAAAACAAAAGGCCGCACGAAGTGGCCACGGGGCGCCCGCGCGTGCTCCGGAGGCTGGGACACGGTGTGTGTGTGTGGAGCTGCTCTCTGGCAGGAGCGGCGGGGGGCTCGGCATGAGTTCGGGGTGGCTGCCAGTCGCCTGGGGGAGGGGGTGGCTATCATTGGGGACAACAGTGTTCGATGCTCGTTTCGGGGACCTTCCTGGAGCCCAGCTAACGGATCTGTTCGACCCGAGTTCGACTCAAGTTCGACTCAAGTTCGACTCAAGTTCGACTCAGGTTCGACGCAGGTTCGACTCAGGTTCGACGCAGCTTCGACGCACGAGTGGAGCGAGTGGCTCCAGGAAGGTCCCCAGAACGAGCATCCAAACAGTGATCAAGCTACCCTCCCCCCCCCTCGCTCGAAGGGCCGTCTCGCGCTCACTCCCGCTCTCGGGGGTGGACAGAGCCCCCAGCAGTGACACGTCGGTTCGTGGAGTGTCCGTGTTCGGTTCTCGAAAGGGCGCCGCGGCCGTTATTTTCGAGGCTTGCGCCCGCCAGGTTTGGGCCTTAGGTCGTTTTCACGAAACCACGTTTTACTAAAGGGAGGTCTGTCCATCCCCGACAGTCGCCCTCCCGCCGCATCCGTAACGCGCCCGAGTCTCAGCACGGGCAGGGGCCGCCATCGGCAGCCCTCGGGAACCAATGATGCGCGCGCCAGCCAGGTGCGCCACGCCCACGAGGTGCGCCGCACGTGCCAGGCCCCACCTCACCACCCACCAAACCACCCCAACCCAACCCGAAGGCTCAGATTTACCCTCGATTTCCAGTGGGGGGGGGTCGGGAAACATCGAAAAACGCATGTGGAACCCTTACCCCCCCAACCCGAAATTCGGTTCTTCGGGTTGGGTTGGGGTGGTCTGGTAGGTAGTCACCACCCCCATCATCCCTTTCATAAAACGCGCAAAATGATTGCGGAGTGCCCGCGCATGGTCGAAGATGGATGTGGCCGCAGCGTGCGCCTTGCATGGTTCTGACGGGGATGGTGGGCCTGCACACACAGGGCAACAGGATGGCACCCGTGGCGTCCGTGTCAGCAAAACAATACAATCATGCAGAGTGATCGCGAGACGCCCGCACATGAACCAGATTTTGCCGCAAACTGCCTTTTTGCCCTGCTCTGTGACAGGGTGGGCGGGGTGTTGGCATTGTCCCTGTTTTGTCGCCGGCCGGTTGGGAAGGGTGTGTGGGTAGCAGGGGCAGAAATGGACTCCCCGAAGGGGAACAAAAAGGGAGGATGGATAAACTCCCAAAACCACCTCCTCCCAGACGGCAAGTGGGCTTCTCCTTGACGCTGGCTAAGTTACCGTGTCGGAGTACGCATCGGATTTGCAAGCTGTGTTCTGGATGAGTCGTGTGCCCAAGCGGCTGCTGTGTGTGGAAGCCTGCTGTGTCTCCCGTGCCGCCTCGTACGTCTTGGGCGTGGAGCTGGTCTGCGTGAAATTCTCTGTCAGCCTACTGGGCCTAGGCCCATGAGCTCCTGGGCATGGACCAGGCTGCTCTCAGCTTCGAAGTTCTGCTCTTGCCTGTCCTTCGAGTGCGCTGCCTGTCGCTGGCCACCTGCAGGGCTGTGCCGCCCCCGCGCAGGTGTGCAAGAGGTCAATCTCGGATGGCTCTGCACGCGAGGACCCAACTGCAGATGGACCGCGGCAGGCTGGTGCACGCACTTGCCGCAAGCAGGGATCCAGGGACCATCAAGTGATTTGGGGCGCGTCCCTTCCACTGCCCCTTGCCTTGTTGGCGGCGCGCACAAGGGGGTGAAGGGAGGGGGAGGGCTTCTTAGAAGGAGGCTGCTTCTTAGAAGGCGCCGGCCTCACATCTACAGATAAGGCCCGTGCCTTCTAAGAAGCAGGGGTGTTTCTACGAAGCCCTCCCCCCTCCCGCCACCCCCCTCTGCGCGTGGCTGACCTTGGGCGGGCCGGGCTTTCAAGGGCGCGTTCGCGCAGCCATCCACCCACCCGCCCGCGGCCATCTCGGGGGGCAGAAGCTCAGGGGGGCAACGCATCGACCCCCAATCGCCCACTGATCGCCGCTAGGGGCCCGACATAGCCCACCCCACCCCGCGCAGGAACGCGCGGATTCGCAATCGGAAGCCTGTCGCCGATCTATCGGCGATGTATCGCCGATTCAAGTTCGATGTCTTCCCCACCTGAGCCAGTTCCCCCCCTAATTTTGCCCCTCATGTTGATGAGAAGGAAGAGGAGAAAAAAGATCAGCGTCAACCCAACCATCACCATCACCACCACCACCATCACCATGATCAGCATCATTATCATCATCACCAGCAGCAGCATCACCATCATGAACATCATCACCACCACCTTCACCACCACCACCAGCATCAGCATCACTATCACCATCATCACCATCGTCATCTTAATCATCATCAGCATCACCACAACCAGCATCCTCTTCATCATCACCACCATCATCATCACCATCGTCACCATCACCACCACCATCACCACCATCACCACCACCATCACCACCATCACCACCACCATCACCACCATCCTCACCATCATCATCACCAGCATCATCATCATCATCACCATCATCATCATCATCAGCATCATCACCACCTCGGCTCCAGCAGCGACGGCTGCCCGAGGGGCTCCCCTGCTGCCGAGGGCCAGCTGCGCCTCCGCGCGGCGGGCGCGGCGGCCGCTCCTGCGGCGGGCGGGACTCGAGCTGAACTGTGATCCAGAGATCTCTCCCCTCCTCCTCCTCCTCCTCCTCCTCCTCCTCCTCCTCTCCTCCTCCTCCTCCTCCTCCTCCTCCTCCTCCTCCTCCTCCTCCTCCTCCCCCCCTCCTCCTCCTCCTCATCCTCCCCTCCTCCCCCCCTCCTCCCCCTCCTTCTGTCGACTCCCCCTCTCATCCCTGACCCGATCGGTCCGTCTTGATCTCGTTGCGCAGCAAAGGCGGACCGAAGACAGGACGAGGGAAAACGAAAACAGCACGAGAATGGAAACACTAACACTCTGATCCACGCCCCGATATCAGCGACACGTCGTTGTCTGCAGCCCGTCGGGGAGCGTCACTCACCCGTCGTTGGTCCGACGGCCCCGTGCCCCCTCGGCAGCCTCACGCCGACGGGCTTCCCGCGGCGGCGTGTCCGTGAACCTGCTGGAGGACGAGACGCAGCGACACTGGAAAGCAGGCCGTAGATCGAGCCCCCCCTTCCGCGGCCCGCACCCGCGCGTCGTTGATGGCGGCGCCCGACGCGGCGGCGACGGCGGAGGCCCCGCCGCCGCGCGCCGCCGGCCGCAGGCCGCAGGACGGTCTCGCGCGCGCGGCGTCGAGGAGGCTGGGGCCCAGCGACGAGATCGACGCCTGGACGCTCAGGTTCTCAAGCAGTGGCGAGGCGTCCTGGCTCGCCTACTGGGCCTACCGGAGAATGTTCAGAGAGCCTTTTGTGGTTTGCACGAAATGTTCTTAGAACATTTCTGGCTGGGACCGTCTTGTGTTAACACATCGGGTCTATGCTCTAAGAACACTGTTTTTGTTCTTAGAACATTTCTGGGTTCTAAGAAAATTTCGTGATAGGCCTACAAGAATGCCGGAACGGTCGGTCCCTGCTCAAGGTTCGGCCACGCGCAGAGGGGGGCTAGGGGGGAGGGGGGGAAGCCTCTTGGAAGCACCCCGGCGACCTAGCAGGCGCGGGCCAGGTCTGAGGGCGCGAGGCGGGTGCCTTCTCTGTGAAGCGGCCTCCTAGAATTGGGTCCAACAAGATGGGTTCGGAGGATGCCGCCGTATCGGCGATGAATCGGCGATGCGGCTCGATGTGCAGCCCGATTCTCTACATGCTGATGTCGCCGATACATCGCCAGTGCATCGGCGATGCATCGCCGATGCGTTGGCGATGCGGCGCGGGCCGACCCTATCTACTCGGACCCCGACCCCATCTAGGATTGAGTCTGGCATGTCCCTCTACAGGATGAATATTCAAAAATAGTCAACAAATTGTCTGGGGACGATATTTCTACCATTTTTGCTTGTTTTCCCTCGATCAGAGCTTGCCTCTGTAGGTGTCCTAGCGGATTCATATGGTTAGGTGAGGTTCGTCGCCAATTTCGGTGGCCGGCCCGGGTGCCCGGGTGCCCGGATGCCGGGGGTTGCCCACAGGTGCCCAGGGGTGCCCAGGTGCTCTAGCGCCCTGTAGCCCCATAGCCCTATAGCTTCATAGCTTGCCATATAGCCCTATAGCCCAATAGCCATATGGCCCTATAGCCCAATAGTCGAATAGTCCTACAGCCCTATGGCTCTATAGTCCTATAGCCCTATAGCCCAATAGCCCAATATCCCTATAGCCCTATAGCTCTATAGCCCAATATCCCAATAGCCCATATAGCCCTATAGCCCTATAGCCCTACAGCTCTATAGCCCTGCAGCCCTACAGCCTTACAGCCTGAAAGCCCTATAGCCCTATAGCCCTTGATCGACTTCTTAGCCCTCATGGCCTTCATAGCCCTCGCAGACTTCATAAACCCAAGGAGCAATTAGAAAGGGATCTCATGTAAGATCAAAAAAGACTCTGCTTGGGGTTTCCTCTCCGTTATCATTGCATATATTTGGGGTATTTGTTCAATGTTTCGCCCGACATCCGCCTGTAGGAGGACATGCCCGACCTGAATCTGGGAGGCCTCTGTACCCTCCCCCCGTGCACGCCGCCAATCTCCAGGCCTCCCCGGCGGGGTCCGAGAGCGCGGCAGGGGTTCGCGTCGCGTCCGACGCGGCGGGGCGGCCTTTGCCGCGGGCGTGCCGAGGTTGAGCGCCGCCAGCGGCCCGGGATTGGCCAACGGGGAGCGACTTGGTGAGCGAGAAGTTTCAGGAGGGGAGAAACACACACAGACACACACACACACACACCGACACACACATACACACAGACACACACGCACGCACGCACGCACGTACACACACACACGCACACACACACACGCCACACACACACACACACACACACTCCACACACAGACACACACACACACACGCCACACACACATGCACACACAGAGACACATTCACACACCACACACAGACACACACACACATACACACATACACACACACGCACACACGCACACACGGACACAATCAGTCGTCGGCGCCGAGGAAGTTGTGAGAAAACATTGGAAGTGGGGTGGAAGACGAAAACCTACAAATTATATCAAAATTTGGGAAATCCTGGGAACGCTGTCTATTCATGTCTGTGTCCCTGGGTCCCTTTAAAGTTGCAGATCGCTCAAGGTCGAACGATTCTCGCGATGTCAGAGCCCAACGCCCTGGTCGCCACGACACGAACCTGCGGCAGATTGGATCGGCGGATCACGCCGCATCGCCAATGCATCGGCGATGCGGCGCGATGTGGAGCCCGATTTGCTCCACGCCGGCGGCGCCGATGCATCGGCGATGCAGTGCGATCCTCCGACCCCTATTCGGACCCCATCCAGGAGGCCTCTACGATCGCCCTGAAAGAGCGGAAGTCCTCAGGGAAACGGGCGCTGGGGACATTCTCTCAGTTTCTGGGTTCCTTCCCAAGGCTCTCAACGGGCCCCGGGACTGTCAGAAAACGACTCTGCATGAAGAGTTTGTCCTCGGGGCAGTCCCCGTTGTCCTCACGAACCTCAAGTCGGGCCTGTCCCTCTACAGGGGGAATCTCCAAAACAATTTGTTTTTTTTTTTCAAACAGTCTGGGGACTACTGAATGAGTATTGTGTTTGGCCATTCGGGATTATTGTTTCGAGTGTTTGTTGTTTTTCTTCGCCGAAAATCCCCGACTTTTTATAGGGGTGCACGCCCGACTTAACACGAACCGTCTCCCCTTCTGCCAGCAGGTTTGTCAGTCCGCAGGCGGAGGCGGGCTTCGTGCTGGGCTACCGCGGTCAGCTGCGGGCGTCCCTGCGGGTCCTCCTCCTCCTCATCTTCCTCCTCGCCTTCATATTCCTCGTCCTCCTCCTCCTCCTCATCTTCCTCGTCTCCTCCTCCTCATCTTCCTCCCCATCTTCCTCGTCTTCCTCGTCCTCGTCCTCCTCATCTTCCTCGTCCTCATCTTCCTCGTCCTCATCTTCCTCGTCCTCATCTGCGGTCCTCCTCATCATCTTTCTCGTCTCGATGCCCGTCATGCTGTACTTCTCGTCGGGCCTGGATTTGGGCGAGAGCCCCACGCAGGAGTTGCAGGCCATAAGGCGCTGGCAGTCCGTCATCAGCATGGCGTGTCTCGGCGTCCAGATCTTGGCGGTAGTCGCGGCGGTGCTTCTGTCTGATCGCGGATTGATCTGCGCACGAGGGATGGAAGGTTTGACAAGTGTCGCACTGATAGTGACCGAGGTCCACGCCTGCTTAAAGATGAAGCACTACATGGCACGGGCATTCGGTTGCGAAGATCCGAGTTCTGTGTGGGGCTTGAACCTTGCGGGTTCAGACTCCGTGTACGTGTTGACCCTCGCTGCATGTGTCGTAGCGGCCGGCATGATCATCAGATGGAAGTCGCTCGTGCCCCTCGCGTGCTTCACCGTGCTCGGATACGCGGCAGCGGCCTACGTCCTCGGCGGCCCGGACATGCGACTGGCCCCGATGAACCTGCTCCTGCTCACCTTCATCGCGGTGGTGGCGTGCTGGTGGAGGCCCGGGCGAGCGGCAACGGGCGGGGGAAGGAGCTCGGCGGCACGCAAGAGTGGCCCTTCGCCGGAGCGACGGGCTCATCGGGGTCCCCCCGATGTCAAGCAGTGGCGAAGCGTCCCGGCTCGCCTATAGGCCTACCAAACAATGTTCTAAGAGCCGTTTGTGGTTTCCACGAAATGTTCTTAGAACATTGTATGGTTGGGAGCGTCTTGTTTTAACACAACGGGCTGATGCTCTGAGAACATTGCTTCTGTGTTCAGAACATGTCTGGGTTCTGAGAACATGTCGTGGTAGGACTATAGGAATGCCGGGACGGTCGGTCCCTGCTCAACGATGGCCGGGCGCGATGCGATAGCGGCTGATTGCGCGCGTGGATCTGGCCAGCCTGCGCCTGGTCGGCCCGCGCAACAGAGGTCACGCTTGCCTTATGATGTTCCAACCTATTGTAGCCTTGATCACCAGAAAGAATTTCGAGCACCAGGAACAAGTACCAAAATTCTAGGGTTTTCACGTGTCGGGCCCTGGGAGACACTGTTTCGACATTCTGTCGACAGTCTTTCGACACGTTTCTGGGTGCTCGAACTTATTTTTGGGATGCCGCCCTTAAGCGCGATGGGAGCAGCATAGCGCTTGCCCAGGCTCACTCCTTGCGCGCAGCCGAGGAACGCAGGGGGGCCGAGGGCTTGCGGGGGCAGGTGGCCCTCAAAGGGCCCCAGAGACTGCCGCCGCGGGCCCCCAAAGCATCGAGCGCGTGCCACTGCACATGTTCATGTCTAATTCTTCGAAAGTTCTTTGATTTCTTGGGGGGCCAAGATCCTTTCATTTCTACTTGTTCTATCGTGGGCCTCTTCCTGGCCACTAGGGGGCCATGGACAGCTAGAAACGAGCACAACTAGAAATTAGCACGATTAGGCATAAACAACGTGTACTCGCAAAGTGCCTTCTCGCAAGCATCCGAAAAGCACATGTCTGCTTCGGTGTATCTCATCGTAGGTCCCCCGCGGCGGATCCAAGCCATTTGCGAGCAGTCACTTTGCGAGCAAGGCCAGCTTGTGATTAACAAAAGGCTCCCCCCCCGCCGGGGATGATGAATAGATCCCGCGGGGAGCGATACTTTGTTGTGCCATCACGCGCGCCAGAGGGAAGGAGGAGAGAGGAGGGGGAGGGGGGAGAAGGAGGAGAAGGAGGAGGAGGACGAGGAAGAGGAGGAGGAGAGGGAGGAGGAGAGGGAGGAGGAGGAGGAGGAGGAGGAGGAGGAGGAGGAGGAGCAGGAGGAGGAGGAGGAGGAGGAGGAGGAGGAGGAGGAGGAGGAGGAGGAGGCCCCCCTCCCGCGGCAGAGACCGCGCGCCCCTGGCCAGGCGGTGCTCCGAGATCCAGGCCCGCCTGCTGCACCTGTCGTACCTGCGGGAGAAGCAGCTGCGCTTCTCGGCGGAGTTCCGCGAGGAGTCCGGGATGGAGTCGGGCGTGCCCCTCTGCAGGAGGATTTCTTTAGTTGTCCAAGAGTCAAGGGCTCCCTCGAGGGCGCGAAGTTATTCGCGCTTCGCGGTCCTCGTTCCTTCTCCCCCTCCTCCTCGTCCTCCTATTCTCCCTTTGGGAGGGCGGCGCGAGAGCGCGAAGTTATTCGCGCTTCGCGCAGCGCGAAGCGCGAAGTTGGGAGCCTGCTATGTTTGGGAACATGTTTGGATATGTTTGACGATGGTCAAGCTTTCGTCCAGCATCCGCCCGTAGGGGGACATGCCCGACCTGAGTCTGGGAGGGAAAGAGATCGGGAGTTGCTAGAGGCGTCCCTCGCCCGAGGTGCCCCCAGCTTTCCGTTTCATTCTGGAGCCCCTGAGGCCATCTTCTTTGGAAGTCCTGGGGGCCCTCGTTGGAAGTCCTGTGAGGCTCTTTTTTTGCCTCGTGAGGGGTGCTTTAGAGGCCGTGGAGGTCGCTCTGGAAGTCCTGGGGGCACATTGGGCCAGGGGGCTTTCCAGCAACACCCGACAAGAGTATCAGTCATGGCGCGAGCTACACGGTGTGTTGGTGATGTCGTGGATCGTGTTCGGTTTGCTGTTGCCTATTCAGCAAAGACTGAACGAAGACATAACGAGGGAAAACGAGCACAACATTCATTGACCGTTTTCGTTTGGATTCGCTTTGCAGCAAAGGCGGAACGATGACATAATGATGGGCAACAATTTAAACAAGAACACCCTGTGTAGCCCGCGCGCTGGTATCGATGGCACGCTGCTGCTTGTAGCCTGACAGTGTGCTGCTCCTTCGCTGCTTGCCCGAAGGCCCCGTGCTTCCTGAGCAGCAGAACGCTGCTTGGTTTCCCACGGCGGCGCGTCATCGATACGGTGGGGGCGTTGGGCAAGGAACGTGCCAACAAGGCTTCATACCCTTGGGGCCTGCTTATCTAATAAGGGCGGCGGTGAGATCCACGGCCAATCCACGATCGAAGCTCCACTGGCTTCGAGACCCTGGATTCCTGACCCATTGGTTCCTTATCCAATGCCCTCACCGTACAGTCAACCATGATAGTAAGGATGGGGCAACTTTCCAAGGCTAGCCTTGCATCCTTGCCCCTTCGATATTCGGCATCCTTCGGCATTCTGCTGCCTTCCGCACGGAAAACGTCAACATGGCGTTCCAAGGCCTTTGCATCCTTACCGCGCATCCTTACTATCCTGGTCGAGTGTATTGCATTTGCTCCCGGAGGAGTGCCTGAAGGGCCGCCAGGCCTCAGGGTGCCTCGCGGGGGACGCCCCCGAGGAGGCTGGCGGCGCGCCCGCCGCGTCGGACCGCCGCTCGCTGCGCTCACTCCTGACCGCGCCCGCCCGGCTCGACCGGGCCGCCGCGGGATGCGCGGTGGCAGGGGCTGGCCGCAACGACCGGGACCCGAGGAGGAGGAGGACGAGGACGTTGACGAGGAGGAGGACAATTATGAGGCGAGGGATGAGGAGGTGGAGGAGGAGGAAGAGGAGGAGGAGGAGGACGAGGACGAGGCGAGGGATGATGATGATGATGATGATGATGATGATGATGATGATGATGATGATGATGATGATGATGATGATGATGATGATGATGATGATGATGATGATGATGATGATGATGATGATGATGATGATGATGATGATGATGATGATGATGATGATGATGATGATGATGATGATGATGATGATGATGATGATGATGAGGAGGAGGAGGAGGAGGAGGAGGAGAGAGGAGGGAGAATGAGGAGGAGGCGAAGGAGGCGGAGGAGGGCAAACGCTGAGCAGTCCCGGCCCTGGGGCCCTGGCATGGCCAGGATGGGTGCGGGCGGGGAGGGGCGAGGCGGGGAGGCCGCTGATCGGGGACGGCTGAAGGTGTCCCTCGCCCAAGGTGCCCCCAGCTTCTCGCTGCATTGCAGAGCCCCCATGAGGCCTTCTGGCCTTCGTGGAGGGCAGTTACTCTATCGAGGAGGAGGAGGAGGAGGAGGAGGAGGAGGAGGAGGAGGAGGAGGACGAGGAGGAGGAGGACGAGGAGGACGAGGAGACGAGGAGGAGGAGGAGGAGGACGAGGAGGACGAGGAGGAGAGGAGGAGAGGAGGAGGGAGGAGGAGAGAGGAGGAGGAGGAGGAGGAGGAGGAGGAGGAGGAGGAGGAGGAGGAGGAGGAGGAGGAGGAGGAGGAGGAGGAGGAGAGGAGGAGGAGGAGGAGGAGCGCACCTCCTTCGAAATCCCGGGGGGCACCTTGGGCCAGGCACTTCTGGCAACACCCGAGACGAGGAGGCGGCCGCCCAGGGCATGGACTGCCTGCCGCTGGACGCCGGCGTGTGGGTCGAGGGCCGCGCCGAGCCGCGCGCGCTGCGGGACCTCGAGCAGGGTGAGCGCGTGCTCTGCTACGACATCTTGGGTGGGTCCGTTCGGTACGCCGAGGTGCTCGAGAAGCAGGTCGACTTCCGGGAGGTCCCCTGGGTCGTGGTCGTCCTCGACGACGGGACGCGGCTGGCGATGACCGCGGACCACCCCGTGCAGCCGGCGAACCGGAGGGAGGCGGTACGGGCGGCGGAGTTGGCCCCGGGGAGCGACAGAGTGGTCGTGCACAGGGTCGTGACCGACCCCGTGAGGGTGAGGGAGGTTCGGCGGCGGAATCCGAACCCTGCCCCCGCCGATCCATTCCGTGTGGGGTGCGTAGCCATGCACATCGGGGGATTCTTCGTTGCCGTGTGGAGTGCGTAACCCAGATGCTTCACGACCCCTCAATGTGTCTTCTGCATGTCCTCCCGTTTGTGGCGCCTTGCTTCCGTCTCGGAGGAGTTGTATTCTGTCGGGTCTCCCCTCGCATGCGCGACCCGCTGACCACGTTCAAGCTGAGCGTTTCCTTTTTGCTCCTGCCCAGGGGAACGCTCATTACCCAGGTCGGGGGAGCGTAAGACCCGGGTTTGCCAGGACTCGGGTTCGCCATCGTTTTTTGACGACCGCGCCTCGGATTTTGGCGAGGAGGAGTTTCGTGGGATGTCTGCAGCGGGAGGCCTCGTCAAAATGCAGGCTCGGCCTCGTCATTTTTTGACGACCTCGTCGGGGATTTCCGAGTCCCCTGTACCCAGGTCTTACGTCCCCCTGACCAGGACAACCCCTCCCCCCCGGGTCACGCCAGCGATCGTACTGGTGGGGGGGGCTTGGACAGCCCCCCCTTACACGCCGTGGTGTGCACGCAGGCGATGGATGCGCCGGTGGCGTGGACGCACCCTGGGGGGGTGTACGCCGTGGCCGCCGTTCCCGTTTATCTTACCGCCTGAATCCCCCACCCGGGGTAACGACCGTTACTGATGGGCAAGTTTTCCACAGCCACTACCATATGTAGGACGGGGGAGAAGGGAGGATGAGGAGGTCCTCCTCCTCCTCCTCCTCCTCCTCCTCTTCCTCCTCCTCCCTCTCCTACGTATGGTAGTGGTGGTGGAAGATGTGCCCATCAGTTACCCAGGAAGGAAAAAGAAAACGGTCGCAGGGAGACAAAGGTGATCGACGCAAGCACGAGGTGGTGAGATGTTTCGGCGGCGGAGTCCGAACCTTACCCCCGCCGATCCTCGGCTCAGGCGAGTCGATGGGCGGCGGTGGTAATTCGGGTTCGGAGTTCGCCGAACACGTGGCGAAGTCCGAGCCCTGCCCCCGCCTCCCATCGATTCAGCAGGACCGATGGGCGGAGGGGCTAGGATGAACGCAGTCGGGCGTGCCTCTCTACAGGAGGACTGCGTATTCAAAGATAGTCAAAACATAGTCGGAGGACGAGTGTCTGACTATTTCTGAACATACCTTGAATATGTTGCTGCACATGCTGACGATGGCTTGGCTATTCTTGAACATGCTTGAATGTTGTTCGAAAGATGTCTCCCTTTTCGTCCAACATCCGCCTGTAGGAGGACATGCTCGACCTACTGGGATCGCCGCGGGGGGTGCTAAGTGGATAAGGGGTTTACAAGTGGATGCCAAGGTGGGTGATGCCTGGCCCAACCCGGCTTATAAGTGGTCACAGATGATCGGAGTGGCTTAGGGGGCTCATATTACTCCGCGGAGTGGGCGGCGCCCACTTGGCCCAGATCGTGAACCCCCCCCCTATGAGCCACTTGGGGCATGCGTGGCCCACTTGTGAGCCAAGGTGGGCCAGATGTAACCCACCTCGGCATCCACCTGTAGCTCGGAGGTTGATCGACCTCCTACCCTGCGTCGATTAGCGAATTGGCCGTTTTCGGTTCGCGAAAGGGCGTCGCGGGCGACATTTTTGCGTGTCCAGATCCGCCGGTTTCGGTCCTAGGCCGTTTTCACTAAAGGGAGGTTTACTGAAGGGAGGTTTGTCCACCGCCGGGTAACCCCCCTGTCCACTTGGCAACCCCCGCGGACATCCCAGTCAGGGTCGGGGACGACGTCGGGGTGATGTGGTGTACACTTGTTTCCCCGTTTTCCCGGTGAAGCAGCGCAAAATGTATACACCAGGATCCCGTATGCACCAGGATCCGCTTTCCTGTGCGAGTGTCCATGTTCAGAAGACGATCCCGGGAGCCTCTTATTGTCAGTTGCCCTGGCTTTCTTGCGCCTCCAGTGGTCCACAGTCGTTTGCTCGCGCCACTGGAGGCCACTGGGGGCTACGGGAGGCCACTGGAGGCCATTGGAGGCCGCGGGGGGGCCACTGGAGGAGACATTGGAGGCGGCTCTAGGCTTGCGCGGGGCCGCTGGGGTCCAATGGTGACCATTGGAGGAGTCACTGCGGCCACTCAGGTGATTACGAAAGGCTCCCAGGAGAGTCTTCTGAATCCATGCGGGGCCAGAAAAAGCGTCGGTGTATAGAGTTTGCCTCCTCACACTTGGCAACCCCCAGGTCAGTCGGTTTCGGTCCTAGCCCGTTTTCACTAAAGGGAGGTTTACTGAAGGGAGGTTTGTCCACCGCCGAGTAGCCCCCGCGGCAACGCATTCCTCCCAGATCTGGAAGAGGACCGGCCCGGATCTGGAGGGGGAGGAGCCCAGGATCTGGCGGAGGAGGAGGAGGACCTAGATCTGGAGGAGGAGGAGGAGGAGGAGGAGGAGCCCAGATCTGGAGGAGGAGGAGGAGGAGGAGGAGGAGGAGGAGGAGGAGTAACCCCCCGCGAGCCCACAGAGAGGTGTCGCGGCTGCCGGCGGCGAGGGAGCGGCCGCGCGGGCGGGCCTACCTGGCGGTGCGGCAGCCCGACCGGCACCTGGTGCTGGTGGCGGGCGAGCGGGGCGTCGCCAGAAGTGCCCCTGGCCGTATGATGTTCAGGAGGAGAACAAAACATGATGGACCCACGAACCCGGAAAGGGATAAAGACATGTGCAGCATGGTCACGTTTTCACGATACCCAACTGGTGGGCGACATCTCACGAAACATCCCACGAGACACCCCGCGAAACATCCCACGAGACGCCTCACGAAACATTCCACGAGACACCTCACGAAACATTCCACGAGACACCCCGTGAAACATTCCACGAGACACCCCACGAACAGGCAACCACTCAACCAGACACGCCACGAAACATTCCACGGGGGTGCGACTGGGTGTGGTCGTGCTGGGGTGTGGTCGTGCTGGGGTGTGGTCGTGCTGGGGAGTGGTCGTGCTGGGGTGTGGTCGTGCTGGGGGTGGTCGTGTGGGGGTGGTCGTGCTGGGGGGTGGTCGTGCTGGGTGGTGGTCGTGCGGGGCGTGGTCGTGCGTGCTGGGGGTCGTGCTGGGGGTGGTCGTGCTGGGGTGTGGTCGTGCTGTGGTGTGGTCTTGCTGGGGTAGGGTCGTGCTGGGGTCGGGTCGTGCTGGGGTGTGGTCGTGCTGGGGTATGGTCGTGCTGGGGTGGGGTCGTGCTGGGGTGGGGTCGTGCTGGGGTCTGGTCGTGCTGGGGTGTGGTCGTGCTGGGGTATGGTCGTGCTAGGGTGGGGTCGTGCATTTCGCTCGAGACATCCTGCCACAATTCCAGGAAATCGTACAAAAAACAAACGAATTAGTCGAGACATCATCGAAATTCCTTCGCGCGGGGCGCTTTTCCGCGTCGCGGTCGGCTCTGCAAAACCAGCGTTTCGCTCGAGACGTCCTCAACAAATTCTGAAACCAAGCGTTTCGCTCGAGACATCCCCAACTCTGCAAAACCAGCGTTTCGCTCAAGACATCCTCAACAAATTCTGAAAAACAAGCGTTTCGCCTTAGACATCCTCAAAAATAATTTCGCCGGCCTCCTTCGACCTCGGTATTTATCAGGGACAAATTTCGCCGGCCTCCTTCAAGTTGGGCACCGGGGACATGTTTACATACTAAAAGAGAACCCTGGGCCTTTGCCCTTTCCGGGAAAAACACACAGACACAATTAATCGTCGATCCCCCAGAAAATATGGAAAAATATGGGCAGTGGGGGGGAAGACAAAAACCCAGAAACTATGGGAAAATATGGGGAATCCTTTTATTTGTGTGTATTTATTTGCGTGTCTCAGGGCCCCTTCAGATGTCCCAGCCTGCTTTATCGGGGGTGGACAGACCGCCTACCCTGACACGTCGATTCAGGAATTGGCCGTGTTCGGTTCGCGAGAGGGCGTCGCGGCCGTTAGTGTTGCGGACCCAGGTCCGTCGGTTTCAGTCCCAGGCCGTTTTCACTAAGGGGAGGTGTATTAAAAGGAGGTTTGTCCGCCGCCGAATGGTGTTCCAACCTACTTTAGCCTTGATTCAAGCAGTGGCGAAGAATCTTGGCGTGCCTGTAGTCCTACCAAACAATGTTCTCAGAACCTTTTGTGGTCTCCACGAAATGTTCTTAGCACATTTCTGGCTGGGAGTGTTTTCTTTTAACACATCGGATTAATGTTCTAAGCACACTGCTTTTGTTCTTAGAACATTTTTGGCTTCTAAGAACATGTCGTGGCAGGACTATAGGAATGCCGGGACGGTCGGCCCCTGCTCAACAGAACGGATTTCGAGCACCAGAAAAAAAGTACCGAAACTCGAGGGTTTTCGCGTGTCGGGCCCTGGGAGACACTCGTCCGACACCGTTTCGACAGTCTTTCGACACTTTTCCGGGTGTTCGAAATTACTTCTGGGATGTGGTCTTTAAGTACGATGGGAGCAACATAATCCTGGCCCGAGGTTCAGGTCGGGCATGTCCCTCTGCAGGAGGAGTATCAAAAAGTAGTCAAACAATAGACAGGGGACGACTGTTTCTCATATTTTTGAGCTATTTTGGATTGAAACAGAAATCGTGCATAATCCGCCTGCAGGAGGACACGCCTGACCTCACCAAAGGTGCCCACAGGGTTTCTAAGGAGGCCCCCCCGGCACCTCCAGAGCACCTCTCTCGAGGCCCAGGGGGGCCCCCAGGGGCTCCAAGGTGGCGCAGAGAGCTAGGGGCACCTTGGGCCAGGGGCACTGCTGGCAGCACCCGAGGCGAGGGAGCGCAGCGGGGCGCGGCGTCGATGGCCGTGTGCTCCGCGGACGTCGGCGCCGTCGCGGAGCGGCGGCACCTGGTGGCCGGGGGCAGCGTTCCTCAAGCGGTGGCGAAGCGTCCTGGCTCGCCTATAGGCCCACCCACCAAAAAAGGTTCTAAGAACCTTTTTGCTGCTCTGCACGAGCCGTCCTCAGAACATTCCTGGCTGAGGCTATCGTGGTCCAGCACATCGGATTCCTCTTCTAAGAAGGTGCAGTACATCGGATTCCTCTTCTAAGATCATTGATCTTGTGAGTCGAACAGCTTCTGTTTCTAAGTGAATTCCGTGGTAGGCCTGTAGGAATGCCGGGACGGTCGGTCCCTGCTCAAGTTCCTGGACCCCCTCGCGATTGGAACAACATCACGACGGACGGTTGTTCGCCATTGTCGGCCTCCAGGGGCGCTCACCGGGCATCGGGGCCGCCAAAAAACCACTCACGATGAGAGGAGCCGGTCCCGGGGAAGAGGTCGAGACCTTTGGTCTAGTCGGGGAAACGTAAGACTCGAGTAAGCCAGAACTCGGGCTTGCCGACTTTTTTTGACGAGCGCGTCCTGGATTTTGACGGTCCTGATTTCGTGGGATGTCTGCAGCGGGAGCCCGCGTCGAATTTCAGATTGGGTCTCGTCATTTCCATGATGGCCCCCGTCAGGCCAACCCGAGTCCCCCGTACCCGAGTCTTACGTCTCCCCCATCTAGGCCTGCTAGATGGGGTCGGAGTAGATGGGGTCTGAGGATCACGCCGCATCGCCGATGCATCGGCGATGCGGCTCAATGTGGGGCCCGATTTGCTTCACGTCGGCGTCCCCGATGCATCGCCGACGTCCACGATGAGTCGCTGGTGCACCACCGATGCATCGGCGATGCATCGCCGATGTGTCGGCGATGAGGCAAGATCCTGCGACCCCGTCTGCTCCGACCCCATCAAGGAGGCCTCTATCTGGGGGTCGACGTTGTGAAAGATCACCACGTCTGAGGTCTGGTCGCCACAATCTCTCTTAACGTCGGGTCTGCCAACTGGGCGCCGGCGGTAAACCGTCAACCTTTCTTACCGCCGGGGGACTCGTAGAGCTTCCTGACTACATAGAATGTCGGAAACAATTGCGGAGAACGAATAGTTTTCCAGCCCAAGGGATTTCAGGCCTCTCGATGCAGCAGCCGAGCGCCCCTGGTGCTTCTGGGCTGGGCTCGGGAGAGGGGGTCGACGTTGTGAAAGATCACCACGTCTGAGGTCTGGGCTGGGCTCAGGAGAGGCAAGGGCGCCCTCGAGGGCGCGAAGTTATTCGCGCTTCGCGCTTCGCGGTTCGGCTCCGATTCCTCCTCGTCCTCCTCTTCTCCCCTGGGAGGCGGCGCGAGAGCGCGAAGTTATTCGCACTTCGCGCTTCGCGCAGCGCGAAGCGCGAAGTTGGGAGCCCTTAGAGAGGGAGGGGGGCGGCGGCCCCCATGGCGCCCACGTCAGCGCGCCCTGTCGCGGGGGGTCCGCGGCCCCACCCCCCGCCCAAGCCGCGTGCGGACGGGCGATTTGGGGGGGGGGGGCGGGCGAGGCTCGGGAGCCAGTCGCGTTGTGGACAGCTGCGGAGGGTGCAAGTTCTACACATCAGATGTTCAGGCCTGGGTGAGGTCAACACTCCAGTTTTTATAGTTATGGGTATTGTTCAATCCTGTCTACACATGTGGTTCCCCAGCTTCAAGGCAATACCTGAATGGAGTTTGAAGATATTTGGGGCGGTCGAAGAAGAACGAACGCCATCTTGAGGCGTGCCTAAAGGGGCCTAGCCTTCGAGGGTAGAAAGAGTTGCCATCTCTGCCGCGGCGGAAGGGCGGCGGAAGTAAAAAGAGGCCGCCTCCGCCGGCGGAAGCTCGGCGGGAGGCGGCGGAAGTGAAAAATGCGCCCCCAAGAGAAGGACACGTTTTTGGGGTTCAGGGTTTCCGACATCTGTCATGGGGGGCAGATCGCCGATCTCTTTGGGCGAGGCATCGCCGATTCCAGCTCGATGCGCCCCCCCCGAGCTGGTCCCGCCTACCGTGAAGTCGGGCGTGTCCTTCTACAGGAGGAAGATTCAAAAGTTGTCAAAAACTAGTCGGGGGTCGATGGTTTGGCTATGTTTGATCATTCTTGGTGTTCTTTGAATATTTCTAATTCCCAACCATCCTACGGTGTTCGGTCTTCGTTTTCAAGAGAAAGCGCACTGCGTTTCTCCTCCTCTTCCCCCTCCTCCCACTCCTCCCTCCTCCCATCCCTGCCTCTCCTCTACGCGTGCCGTCCTCACCATCCTCCTCCCTCCTCCCTCCGCCCATCCCTTGCCTCTGCTCGCCGCATGCCCACCCGCTGATTTCTGCGCACCCCTCAGGAGGACGTGGCCCCATAGGGAGCTCCACCGAAGGCCCCAGCGGCAGGGTTTGATTGCGTCCCCCCGCCCATTCCGGCTGGCACATCCCTCACGAGGCTGGTGGCCCCATAGGGAGCTCCACCGAAGGCCCTTGCGGCAGGGTTGGCATGCGTCCCCCCGCCCATTTCGGCACACCCCTCACGAAGATCGTGGCCCCAAAGGGAGCTCCACCGAAGGCCTCAGCGGCTGGGTTTGCAGCGTCCCCCCGTCCAATTTTGCACACCCCTCACGCGGATCGTGGCCCCATAGGGAGCTCCACCGAAGGCACCAGCGGCTGGGTTTGCATGCGTCCCCCCGCCCATTTTGGCATACCCCTCACGAGGATCGTGGCCCCATAGGGAGCTCCACCGAAGGCATACCCCTCACGAGGATCGTGGCCCCATGGGGAGCACGCGGCAGGGTTTGCATGCGTCCCCCCGCCCATTTCGGTACACCCCTCACGAGGATCGTGGCCCCATAGGGAACTCCACCAAAGGCCCATGCGGCAGGGTTTGCATACGTCCCCCAGCCGAGTTCGGCACACCCCTCACGAGGATCGCGGCCCCGCAGGGAGCTCCACCGAAGGCCCCAGCGGCAGGGTTTGCATGCGTCCCCCTGCTGATTTCTGCACACCCCTCACGAGGATCGTGGCCCCATGGGGAGCACCGAAGGCCCTTGCGGCAGGGTTTGCATTCGTCCCCCCGCACATTTCGGCGCACCCCGCACGAGGATCGTGGCCCCATTGGGAGCTCCACCGAAGGCCCCAGCGGAAGGGTTTGCATGCGTCCCCCCGCTGATGTTTGCACACCCCTCACAGGATGGTGGCCTCATCGGGAGCTCCACCGAAGGCCCCAGCGGCAGGGTTTGCATGCGTTCCCCTGCCCATTTCGGCACACCCCTCACGAGGATCGTGGCCCCATGGGGGGGTTCCACCGAGTGCGGTACCCACAACGCGGTACTCACAGCTGCATATGGTTGGGTCCCTCGTGAGGATAGTTTTCCCTCCCGAGCCCGCCTGTAGGAGGAGGACATGCCCGACCTACGCCTACCGTTGCCCCTCAGGTGAGCGTCCGGGGCACCTTCGTGCACGTCCACGCGGCGGCCCCAGAGGCGGGGCAGGAAGAGGGGCACGGATGCAGAGCCTCCGAGGTCCGTGCAGATCTCGTGTATCGGGGAGCCACCACGTGTGGCGAGTCGGTGGGCACTCAGGGTGGCCGCACGCTTCTGGGGCGTGGGCCGTCCTCAGAGGATGTCTCTGGCGACAGGGGTGAAGTCGGGCATGTCCTTCTACAGGAGTAAGATTCCAAAGCAGTCGAGCAACTGTCCCGGGACGATGTTTGGCTATGTTCGAATCTGTTTTGAGCCTGTTCTGTTGCTCGTCCAAAATCCGCCTCTGGGAGGACATGTCCGACCGAATGCTGGGGCCACCGAGGTCCCGAAGCAGCGCGCTGATGCGCCGTGCGCGGAGGGCGCTCGGGGCTCTGAGGCCACCACTCGGTCCGTCTCTGCACCGCTCTGAGACCCCCAAGAAGACACCCGCGCGGACCTCCAGACCACTCGTGGCCATGCCGCTGTTCCTTCCTCTGCGGAGGAGGGCGCGCGGACCCCGCAGCCGCACCGCCCCCGGTCGGAGCCGCCAGGGCTGTGGGCGGCGCGGGGCGAAGCCTCGCAGGGCGAGGCCCCGAGGGCGTCGGGGATGACGCCCTCCACTCACAGCTCCAGCGAGCCGCCGAGCGCCAGCGACAGGGACCCCAGCCAGGCGGTGACCATCAACGTGGCCGTCCTGCTCGACCCACGCCCCGCGGACGAGCCGCGGCGCGCGGTCGCGAGGGTCAGCGAGTGGGTGCACATGAGGCGGATGGGGTGGCCGAGCCTCGGCAGCAGGGCCCACGCCCGCGGGGACTGCCGGCTCTGCGACCACCACAAGAAGGGGTCGTGCCGTGCCGGCCCCGGCTGTCACCACTGCCACGTCGACGAGGGGTGCGGCAAGCGCAGCCACAGGCGCAGAGGGAAGCCCGCGGGCGCCCAAGGGGGCGAGGAGGACTGTGCCGCTGGCACGGGTTAGAGGCACGGCGCGGCAGGTCGCTGAGTGACCCATGCGGCGGGGCACCGGATCGCTGGCACGCCAGAGTGGCCTTTCGGCGGAGCGGCCTTTGGTGCGGGCCCAAGGGGGCCACCCGTTCGCCGCACGCGATGCGGTACTGCATAGAGTTTTGCGCGCTCGCGTTTGGTCCCGCCACGGCCCTGGAAGGGCCGCGCCTCAAAGACCATGCATTATGCAGTCAGTGGCACCGCGTGGCAGGTCGCTGAGTGGCCCCTCGTGGCGCAGCCAAATACTTCCGCACTCCTGCTGGATGGCCTTAATGGCAAACGCGTCCAACAGCAGGGATTCGTTCTGACAGCAACTTTGCATGGGGTGCTCTCTCTTGGGCTGCCCGCCTGGTGCCGCAGCGACGTGTCTTCATTGCCTCGACATCGTCGTTGCTGATCGTGAAGTCTGTAAAAATAGCAGGCGGCGCTAGCCGCACGCCTTTTCAAGCGTGGGCCTGGCACTGACATGTCGCTTTCCAAATGTAACTCGCACTGGAGCTGAGCAAAATGGCGGCTCGCAGAGCAACTTCCGCTATCTCTACTCAGCAGCAATATTTTCCAACAGGATAGATTAGTTTTAACATCGTTTGTGCATGTGTGGGCTGCCCTATTTTGGATTGTCCGCTTGGCACAGCGACATGTAAACAGAGTCACCGTGCTTCAGCACAATTGGCAGTTTGTTGAGTGGGTTCTCGTTTCCTTCCTGGCCATACTGGTCGTCGTTGATCGGGGATGCATGGCTTAACAACAGCTGGGATGTGATTGACATGTCCAGGCATCCAGGGACCTCAAATGGTATCGGAGTTTGATAGAGAAACCTCACCCTGCGAACTTGATCAGCGAAGCGCTGTGCTCCTGCCTTCGACAGGACGTAGCAGCCGCCGTGTTCCTGGTCCTGCGCCCGCCGGGATGTGCTTGGTCCTGGGCCATTTTACCTGGAGGGTGGTTTTGCTCAAGGTTTTCCTGTCCACTCCCGATGGTGGAGGTGGACGAGGAGGAGGTATCCAGGGCTTGCGGGCTTCCAGGGTGGAGGAGGAGGAGGAGGAGGAGGTATCCAGGGTGAAGGAGGAGGAGGAGGAGGAGGAGGAGGAGGAGGAGGAGGAGGAGGAGAGGGGGTTCCTGGAGGTCTCCAGGGTTTGCGGGGCTCCGTGGAAGCCGGCCTCCAGCGGCCTCCGGACGCCCCAAAGTGCACAGCACGCAAGCGAGCAGGAGCCAGATCGCCGATCCGCGTCGTGCGCGCCATGCAGGCTGCGGAGCAGCAGGCGGCGCCAGCTGCGTGCCTCTTACACCTTCGGTATGTGGCCTGGCCATGCCGCTCGTCCAGTGTACCTCGCACTGGAGCCCGAGAGAGAAGCCGCGCACCAGACGTGAGTTGGCAAGAGGGATGAACGATTGAGTGCGTTGCCACTGGCACTGGTCGGTGCCACGTGGTGGCAGGCCGCTGGATTGTCCCATGTGGCGTGGCACGAGAGTCCGTCACAACCGCGTAGGTTGTGCAATACGTTCGTCCGGCGGCCTAGCAGCAAACGCGTCCAGCAGAATGGATTAGCTCTGGCATAGTTTGAACATTTTTGGAGCCCCTCTCTTGGGCTACACGTATAGTCTATACACGTCTATTGCCGCAGCAATGTGTTCGCAGAGTCACCGCGCGCCAGCAACAGTGGCAGTCTGCTGGGCGCGTTTTTGGTGGTTGCTTCTGTTTTCATCGTCGTTTCATGTTCGCTCTGCACCGCAATGAGGCCGTGCAGATGGTGTCGCTCGAGCGCCTCTCAAGCGGGGCTGCCTTCGCTGCGACGATGCATAAGCAGCGTCACCGCGCCGCCGCCGCTGCCGCAGCAGGAGCATGGAGTGAGAGAGGAAGATCAGGAGGAGATGCGGAGGGGGAGGCTTGTGCCGGACTGTGCTACTTAGGACTCACGCAGATGGCAAGTATCACGCAAGACGCCTCCTCGGCAGCAGCCGGCACACGGCTCCACCTTGATCCTGATGGAGAAAAGGATGTCCGCGCGCGCATCGCTGTGTACAATGTGTGTGTCGCGCACCGAGCAGCCATGTATAATTCATCATGTAACCCTGAGCTCTTCTGCGACCTGGAGCAAAGACGATGGGCATTCTCCTCGTCTCCCCTCCTCCTCCGCCTCCTCCTACTTCTGCTCCTCATTCTCCTCCTCCTCCTCCTCCTCCTCTTCCCCATCCTCCTCCTCCTCCTCATCTTGGGGGAGGTGGCGACGCTCCCCCTCGTTTCTCATAGACAGGGGGCCAACGGAACCTGGGGGGCCAACGGAACCTGGAGGTTCCGTTGGCCCCTCTCCCTATGCATGTGTTTGCAAAGGCATAGAACAAGAAAAAAGGCGGAGGAGGTGAGGAAGGACGGAGGGGAGAGGAGGGGAGGGAAGGAGGGAGAGACGGAGAGAGAGGAGGCCTTTTGACTGTACTAAGCTCGTTGCAAGTAGCTTGAGCGCAGCGGCCAACAGGACTGGCACAGGCTGCACACGAGAAGCCCGAGAGCATGGACGCTGAGCTGCTTCCGCTCTCGTCCCGAAAAGTGTCGGGAGAGAGGTATTGGCGCTGCGGGAGGGGAAGAGAGGAATCAGAAACGAGAGAGGGGAGTTTGCAGCGCCGTGCGAAGAGAGACATCAGCGGGGCCCTGCTTCGTTGCCCATAGCAGGGCAGCCCTCGAGGCAGAGAGCAGTTCAAGGCTGGAAAAGGAGAGACCTGCCTAGGTGTGCCGTCCAAGTTTCGGTCGGCTGAAGGAGAGGGAAGAGCTGGACGGAGGGCCAAATTGGCCAGGCCGCCGTGCGGCTGTCCAAACCTCCAGGGGAGGAGAGCTGGACTGGAGGAAGAGGGGGGGAATCCAAAAGAGGCGGGGGGAGGAAGGAGGGCCAGAATGGCATTGCCGTGCTGCAGGGCGGCCGCTGCAGCTGAAAGGCCTGCACGGGCCGTCCGCGACGGGGAGGTGGGTGTGCCTGGGCGCTAGCCGAGACCAGACAACAGAGACCCACCTCCGTGTGGCCCCTCACAGGCACACAGGGACCAAGGGGACCCTGCTACACCTGGACGAGGGCCAAAGAGACAAGCCGAGGCACAGTGCCGCGGTCCTCCCACGAGGCACTTATGCTTGCCGCGGCCTTGATTCAGCCGCACAGCCAAGACGCACTATGGCATGGTGCCTGTATGCATATATGGCACCTTCGCTGGCCGCCTTGGCCGAGAGTTACTCGGCGGGGATGTGCTGTAGCCTCGTCCTTGCTTGCCACAGTTTAGGTTTAGCCGTGGCAGTCTGGCTAGGACAGTCTAGGTAGGAGCTGCCAAGGTGAACCAAGAGTATTAGGCCAGCTCACCACCTAGGAGACTCAGCCGTGGCGAGTCTGCGAATTGCTGTGTGAGCTTAGCCGATCGCTGTTTAGCGAGGCTGCTAAGATGTGCCGCGTTGACCGCACTCGTGCGGCAAAGTGAGAAGTCGCGCCCATGACTGGCAACTACTCTTGCACAGGCCCTCCAGGGGGGGCCGGTAGAAAAAAGAGTGACTAGGTGGGCTGCCGAGGTATGTATTAGGCTGGCTCCGCCCCTGTGTGGCGCATTGACGGTTGCACCATGGGCGCCCATCCCATGTTGACCTGAGATGGTGCCGACTGGCGCCGAAAGAGTTGCAGTGAGAATGTGCACCTGAAGGACCCACTGCGGCGGACTGCATGTCGGCTCGGCCGACCTTAAATTGGAGACGCGGCGTCTCCTTTGTTAGAGTTTGGCCCATGTGGTGGCTTGGGCTGTATAGGTGGTGGGCTGCAGATAAACCAGGATCCGAGAAGTGTGCTAGCCCACCACCTATGCGTGAAGACTCAGCCGTGGCGAGTCTGCGAATTGCGATATGTGAGCGGCGTTTAGCCGCCTCACTGTTAGCGGGGCTGCTCAAAGTTGCTGAGCCGCACTATGTCGGGATAGGCTGGATGCTGCTAGACTTGCGTGGCCTATTACTCAGCTATGCGGGACGGCTCGACCGACCTTGAATTGGAGCGGCATGGCTCCAGCTGTTTAGGTGGTGGGCTGCCGAGGTAAAGAGAAACCAGACTAGGCAAGATGGACAAAAGGAGAGTATTAGGCGAGCCCACCACCTAAGCGGGCGCGCTGCTAGTTGCGCCGAGGTCGCTCAGGATGACCTAGCAGGGCGCTGACTGATGCAGCACTCTATGTGGCTCACTCAGGCACCGAAGGGCGACGGGTTGAGAGTGCGGGCGGCAGCCGAGAGCGCCGAGAGACCTGCCGCTGTCGCCGCCGCTCGCGCCTGGGCCTCTTGCGCGGCAGCCTGCTGCTGGTTGTAGTGGTCCCGCAGCATGGCCTCCACCTCAGAGATGGTCGCCAGGCCTGGGGTCTCGATCCACTCCCAGTCCCAGGTTTCGACGACCTGGCCGTCGATGACATCCAGCGACTTGAGCTTCCAAACGAACGGGTAGAGCATGCCGTTGGGCATCTTCCACTCGCCAGGGCACGTGGAAGGCCACCACTTTTTGAACTCCCGCGTGGCGGCCGTGTATTGGGAGCCCTGCCATGCCGAACCAGCATACGTGTCTCCTAAGAGGCCGAAGAGCTCCCGCGCGTTGGGCGACGCCCTGCTGGCCTCGGCCGCGCCCGCATCCGACGCGGCCGCTGCGGAACCGCCCGCGGAAGCATGGGCACCATGGCGGCGTGGGGCGCGCTGAGAGAAGGGGGAAGTGCCGAGGGAACAAAAAGAAGTAGCCCATAAGCCAACGGCCAAATATGAGTGAAACTTAACTGGCTTATGCTTGCATCTGTGTGAGGAGGACCCTCCTGACGGGCCGACTGATGCATGCTTGGCCTGGTGCGGAGTCTATAGGGATGAGGATGTTACCGCTACGCATGTTGACCCGCAGCGAAAGGCCGGTGCGGTAGGGTATGCCCGTGCCAAATAGGATGGGCCGTGCATCAATCTCCTGTAGAATAGGGAGGTGAAAAAAGCGCGGCCTTTCCGCAGAGGATGGCAGCCTGGTCTCCTGCCCATGGAATTGCTCCATTAGGAGCCCTACATTGATGGGCAATGGGGACCAAAGCGAAATGTGGCCTGTCGTTATCACTACCAGCCACTGCACGACTGTAGGCGGTGGTGGCACTGCCTCAGTGGGGGCGCAGCGGAAGTCGCCGTGCTCGAACTGCGGCAGGTGCTGCGCCTCTGGGGTCGGCATGGCCTGAGGGATTAGGGTTCGGGGAGACGGAGGATTCGAGCGAGGTAGGACAACGGGAGGCAGAATGGCCGAACCATGATCATGGCCTGGAAGTCTATAAGGATGGGGCTGCCAGCCGCTGCATCCTGCAAAAGACGATGAGGGATGAGGGAGGACTGCTCCCAGGCCCCCGATTGGAGTAGGTCCAGAAAAAGCTGATCAGGCACGTAAGCAGTAACTAGCCCTATGGTGGGTGAGAAACGGGCATCATAGGGGCCGTCCCCCGCTGCACATTGAGGGTAAATGTGGAGTAGGTTAGGGGAGTTGGCCTCGCGCCAGCGCCCATGCCAGCGCTCGAGCGTGCTATTAACGGCCGTGGGCAAATCTAGGTGAAGCACAGGGCCTACGTAAGCGCGCGCGTGTGGCCATGCGGGCGGCCCGCTCTCGAGCTGCCATGTGGCTTGCCACTGGGGTACCGCAGTATGCTGGTACACCGTTGTGGGAGACAGAATGAGTGCGCGGCGCCTCGCGCCGCCGCTGAGAAAGCGGTAGACTTGCTGGTGAGCCAAAAGAAGCCGCTCAGCCAAATGCTTCCATAAGGAAGCCAAACGAGAGGCTGGTGGCGAGATGTTGCGCAGATCTAAGTGTCGTCCCGGGTGCGCCTCAGCAGCGGGCATGTCCTCGTCTGCGTCGGCGTTGCCCAGGATACTGGGCTCGCTCCTCATGGCCTGATGGGGATGAGGCAGAAAAGGGAGCTGATAAGAGGAAAGAGGGAGAGGTTAGGCTTAGGCTGAGGGCTAGCTGCCTGGCAAAGGTCTAGCGCCTGGCAGCATCACCTCCTTCATGAGGTTTACGCGGCCTCCTGGGCGAAAGACGCTGACCGCAATGCGAAAGGCTTTCGCCTTCTCGCAACTGAAGCCTGAGGCGCTCCCTGTGTATCCTGTCGATACGGAGCTGGTCCTGCCTATGCTCCTCTTTGAGCTGGGCAATTATATTCTCGTGCTCCTTGAGAACTGCACTGCGCTGCACGTCCGAGGCTGCGCCAGACGCTTTGGCAGGCGAGTGCGAGCGCTGAGCTGCATGGGCCGCGCGGTGCGCCTTGGCCTTGCGAGCCCTATGGTGCCTAGGGGGAGGAGAGGCTGGAGGTGACGGCGGGCCGAGGGACTCCTGCGGGCTGCTTTGTGCCTCCGCAGGTTCTCTGCGTAGCGGCGCCGGCTGCTTGAGCGCGCTTTTGCGCGGCTCGGTGCGTAAGCGCGAATTATAGGCCACCCCAGGGGATTTGGCCGTGAACTCGTCCGCAAATGAGACCTGCTTGCGCTTGCGAGTTGCAGAGGCGCGGGGCGCAGCGGACTGTTCCGCCGGCTCTGGAGAGTCATGCGGAGGAAATGGTGAGGAGGCAGAGGAACATGAGGCGTCGTCCACCTGATCCAGCCTTCTAGGCGATGCTGGGGGACTAGAAGCCCTGCTCGGCTGGCTCCTGTGTGGCGCAGCTTTACGAGACTGTTTGCGAGGCTCGCGCGGGGGTGGAGGCGAGGTGCACGCTGAAAGGGGTGGAGAAAAAGAGGAAGCAGCCTGGCCTATCCAGCCTTCCGGAATGGCTGCTTTGGCAGGCACCCTGGGAGGATCTGGGGGCAGCAAGGGAGGCAAGGCGG